GTCCATGAACAAATGGAGGCTTGAGGAATTGTTTTAAACCTAAAGTCTATGTGAATGCGTACTTCAACGATTTGGGAATGCTGGGACTTGGGAGTCTGTCCTTTTCCCCAGGCTTTTTCTCTTGATTCCAAAAAAATAAGCCTTTCCTCCCATTTAGACCTTTGAGGGCTAGACAGAGGCGGCTCAGGAGTTGTCTACTACTTGGTGGGGCAATATGAGAAAGGAGCCATTAGGGAAGGCAGCCGGCTTGTCACGGCCCTTCAGGAAAAAGGCCAGCAGCTCCCCCTTCCCCTTCACGAAGATAGGACCTCGCCTCACAAAGCGGAAGCCGTACTCCTGGAGGATGACTTGGGTTTCTTCCACTACCTGGACAGAGAAGAGGAAGACAGTGTGGGGTTATGAGTGAGTGACGGCAGCCTTGGTGTGTTAAGAGCAGACAACTGACACAGGCGTGCTCACACCCATCTTAGATCCCACCTAGTCAGGGGCCCCTTCAGAACACAGGGCAATCTGCCCAAAACTCCCTGCTCTCTAGTCCTTTCTCCTCTACAGACAGCCAGAGGCTATCTGAGTGGCAGCACTACAGCTTGCAACTTTTACTCCCTGCCCTTGAGACTCTGCCCATTCACGGAGCTTTCCTACATGTGTGGGATTACTTCACGAGGTAGTGGAGACACAGGATGTCAGGAAGTTCATCCCGACAGGCAGGCAATAATCTTACCCAGATCTTAAAAAACAGATTTTGCAAACAGGATCGAAATACTCCCTTCTACTGAAGTTAGCTACAGGAGTATCACTTCCTACTCTTGCCCTCAATCTCAGCACTACCAAGTGCATATTTTGAACCAACGGGAAGGAGGCAGCTACAGTGGCAAACGCACACGCACCACCCACCCACTTTTGTTCCTAGCTCTGCTGTGGGACGTACCTGAATGTTGCCCATGACCCCCGTTGACTCTATCCTGCTGGCCACATTGACTGTATTGCCCCAGATGTCATAATGAGGTTTTCGGGCTCCAGTGACCCCAGCCAGGACCCCTCCTTTGTTTATGCCTGAGAGAGAGAGACCGCTCAGCACCGCCACTCACCAGACATCAGCTCCTGCCATCACCACTGTCTCATGTCACCAGCTCCCCAGTGCTCACCACCTGGCCCTCCACCTCAACCTCCTGACTATAAAGCATGCCGTAGTCCTTGTTAAACTTGTCTCACAGAACAAAACTCTGAGCAATCCGAGGGAGAAATTACCTATTTATTCTGTGTCCACCAGATGCTTGACAAAGATCAGCTACCCCCCCACATATACATGGATTCACTGAGTGCAGTGGGGTTGGGAATTTCCTCTAACACACACCTGGTGCTTCTAGTCTCCCGGGATCTCACCCAAGAGGAGTGAGAGACCTCGGAGGCAGCTAGTGACGTTAACTCCTGGCAGTCTTTCAAACACAGGCTGGACTGAGGTGTGCAAAGCTTTATGAGGCACAGAAACCCCCAGAAGGCATGCACGGAAATGACATTTCCCATGTAGATTCAGGAGGAAGAGCAAGTGACCACTGTAAGCCACATCTAGTCAGTTTAGCTGTCTGCTAATCAAAAGTTGGGAAGTTCCAACCTATCAGCTGCTCCACAGGAGAGACACACAGCTTTGGAAATCCTATGAGCAGTTATGCTGTCCTATAGAGTCGCTCTGTGTAGATCATAACAAACTATGGCTGACTCTGAGAAGAATGGGAATCCCAGAACACTTGATCGTTCTCATGCGAAACTCATACTTGGACCAGGAGGTAGTTGTCAAAACAGAGAAAGGGAACACTGCATGGTTCAAAGTTGGGAAGGGCGTACGCCAGGGATGCATCCTATCTCCGTACCTTTTCAACCTATATGCAGAACAGGTTATCCGGGAGGCTGGGCTCTATGAGGAGAAATGTGGGGTCAAGATTGCTGGACGATTTATCAATAACCTGCGTTATGCGGATGACACAACCCTGCTTGCTGAAACTGCAGAGGACCTGAAGCCCCTGCCAGAGTGTCAAGGACTGCAGCCTACAATATGGATTGAGGCTCAATGTCAAGAAGACAAAGATTCTCACCACTGGACCAACTGGCAGCATTAGGATGGATGGTGAAGAGATTGAGATTATACACAACTTTAGTTTGCTTGGCTCCATAGTCAATAGTCTTGGCACCAGCAGCCAGGAAATTAAAAGGCGCATTGCCATGGGAAAGTCTGCTGTTAGGGACCTCTCCAAAGTACTGAAGAGCAATAGTGTCTCTGGAGACTAAGGTGCGTCTGATACAGGATTTGGTCTTCCCAATCACTTGTTAATGAATCAGAGAGTTGGACAATGACCAAGGAGGATAGAAGAATTGATGCCTTCGAGCTGTGGTGCTGGAGAAGAGTATTGAGAATACCATGGACTTCTAGGAAAACAAACAGATTTGTCCTGGAAAGGGTTAAACCGGGTGGCTCCTTGGAGGCAAGGATTCTGAGGCTTCGTCTAACATACTTTGGACATGTTGTGAGGAGAGACCAGTCCTTGGAGAGGGACATCATGCTTGGGAGGGTGGAGAGACAGCGCAGGAGAGGAAGGCCCTCTATGAGTTGGATTGATTCAGTGACTGCGATAATTGGGATGGGACTGTCAGAGACAGTGCGATTGGCACAGGATAGAGCGCGATTGGCACAGGACAGAGCGGAGTTTAGGGCTGTTGTACATAGGGTCGCTGTGAGTCGCAGGCGACTCGACGGCACATAACAACAACGTAGAGTCGCTTGGAGTTGGAATTCACTACAGAGCAAGGGGGGGTGTTGTTGGTGCATAGTGTACCTACCAAAAGTTGGGATCATACTCCAACAGCCTGCATCCCACACCTATCTACTGAGTTCCCAGTGAGATCCCCGTGGTGCAGAGAAGTATTAAAAAAAGAGCCCCGATGTCTGGTCTTTGCATGCCAAGACCCTGAACAGCCAAGAGAAGCAACTCTTACATAGCAAACAGTTGTCTCAGATGTCAGTAAATCTGAACGCCACACCCACTCCATCCAGGTGGTCCCCAGGACGCCAATACCACGCCCGCTTTCGGCATTCCTCCCCACCCCACCCCCCGCGCAGGGGCGGGAGTCACCTCGGGCACCACCTTGTGCATGCGCCGCAGATCCTGGAGGTAATCCGCCGCCTGAGGATTGTTGCGGTTAACATGCAAGGCCGCGGTGGCTCCGTGACAAGCCTGCGCCACCAAGGCGCCGAGTGGCCAGGAGAACGGAGTCTGCGATAGATCCTTCCGTAGCACCAAGTACTGCACCAGAAGTTGCGGCTCTGCGATCGAAAACGCCATCTTCCCGACCCACAGAGAGGCGGGGCATGCTCCCGGTGCATGCCGGGATTGGGGAGGCTCCCTGAGCTCCGCCTTGGTTGCGTATGGTTGGAGCGCAAAGGACGCTGGGATTTGTTGAGCGGCTTTTAAAGGCGAGAAAGGCGGGAACTGTCATCTCAGGACTCGCTGAGCACGACGACAAGTTAGAGAAGAGTAAGATCTAGGTATGTACGAGTTCAGGATAAGGGTGGAGACCTGGGCAGACCGTCCCTGTGCTCCTGAGCGCGCAAGGTGCGGTCGGGGTGGTAGACCTGCACCCGGGAAAGGATTGGGAGGATCAGGAAAGGTAGTACCGGCATGTACGCTTGCAGCATGGAAATCAAGGTTCTTAATCTCGTTTGCCTGCGCAGCTTCTTCAGGAGACTCTTGGAAATCTGAGGAGGAGACGGAGGAGCCAGCAAATACTCCAATTCAAGAAGGCTGGACCAAAGGAGGTATGTAAAGCGCCCTGTTGTTGATTTTTTTAAGGTGTTGACCCAACCACT